TTGTGATAAGTTCTGGAGAGCCTGAGTGCGAGCACAGAGGAAGCAGCTGGCAGGGTGTCAGGGAGGCCGTCCCGATGGGGGACATCTGGGCTGTGGCCTGAGTGACAGGGCATGCTCCTCTCAACACACGAATGTCTGTCTGGCCTTGGGAGTCTTTGATCCATGTAAATTTAAAAATAATCATAACAGCAACTTATCTCTTATCTACTTCCAACCACAGTCATCCACTGATCTCTGCTGCTAAATAATACTATTGCTCACACATGAAATTACCTATCTACTCTTCCACTTGCTTAAAAAGAAACAGAAAAGAAAAAAAAAAGTTCTCAAGGCTCTCCTATGTCTCCCCAAAGTGCCATGCGAGCAGCCAAAATGAAGACAAACTACCCTTCAGGCCAGTCTTCCTGTCCCTACCCACATCCTGGTGCCGCCCAGGCCCTCCCTACGTTCCTGCTTTGCTTTCTCTGAGACTTGAAACCCTGGGCAGGGATCCTTTCTCAGTGCTCAGAACAATAAAATATTAAATACAGTGAGTCAATAACACAGTGTTAAGATGCCCAAGTAACTCCCAGAGGAGGCCTAAGTATCTAAATCAATACCACCAGCCCAGACACAAATACCCTCACCCTTCACTCTTCCTTAACCCAAGAAAAGCTGCACCGAAAAGAGTAACTGCTTCCTCAGGGGCAGAGGAAAGTGCAGCATCTACAGACCTGCTGTGGGTCAGATCCAAGGCAAACGCCCAGCCGCGTGGCGCAACAGAGGGGAGGAATGGAGCCTGCTCAGTATGCCCGCGCCGCTGGGCGGGGGAGGAGCGTAAGTTGCTGCAGCCCTTAGGCAGGCATTTGGAGAGATGATGATGGATATAGATATATAGCTACATATATACATATCCTTTTATATATCTGTACACACACACATATATATCAATCATTCTAAACATACATCCCTTTGATGCAATTCCTTTAGTATGTGCTCTTCAAGGGTCCTGTGTTGTCTCGCTGTCCTAATTCTTGTTCCACCTGCACCTGCCCATTTCCAGGTTGCCATCTGTATTCCCCACAGCCCTGGAAAGCCAGACGGAAGGAAGCCCCTCACACTAACTGCAAACCCTGACACCAAACACATGTCTGGTACAGGACAGGCATCAAACATTTCAAATAAACAGACTTTGGGGATTGTGAGTGTCCTGGAATACTTAAGTGCTTGGATGTTCATTTAAGGTTTTAAAATACTTTAAATATCAGAAACAAGGAGCTAATAAAGGACTAGAGGAGTAAATTAGGCTACAGCGATATGGTTGAGTGCTGTGTGGCCATTAAGAACTACTCTGTTGGCCCAGCCGGGCGTGGCTCAGCGGTTGAACGTCAACGTAGGATCCAGGCGATCGGGGTTCGATTCCCGGTCAGGGCACATGCCTGGGTTGTGGGCTCGATCAATGACTCTCTCATCATTGATGTTTCTATCTCTCTCTCTCCCTCTCCTTTCCTCTCTCTGAAATCAATAAAGATATTTTTTTAAAAAAACTACACTGTTGCCCTGGCCGTGTGGCTCAGTTGGTTGGAGCTTCGTCCCATAAACTGAAAGGCAGCAGGTTCAATTCCCAGTCAGGGCACATACCCAGGTTGTGGGTTTGATCCCTGGTGAGGGCATGTAAGGGAGGCAACCCATCAATGCGCCCCCCTCCCTCCTCTCCCTAAAAAGAAATTAAAAAAAAAAAATCAATAAACATATCCTCCAGTGAGGATTAAAAAAAGAAAAAGCACTACACTGTATCCCTGTGGTTTCAAGGAGCTCCAGAAGCCCTGAGTGGCTGCTGTCAGTGTCCTAGGCCACACGTATTCAGAACTGAGCAGAGTCCCCACACTGCGGACGCCTCAGGAGCCAGTCTAGTGAGGAGGCAAAAATCCAAACATCCCCATCAAAAGCCTCAAATTCAGAGCGAGGCCAACTCCTTTGCCTGAGTGAGAGAAGAAATAGGGGAAATGGGAGAAGGGAACAGGGTCCTGTCCCTCGCATCCCATGTCCAGTCCAGCAGCATACCAGTCCTCTCTGTCCCCAAAACACAAGTTAAAGTCACACTCACTATATCAGTGCAAATAACACAGGCCTGGTTCTGGGGTAACGGCCAAGCATGAGCACCATGGGAAGAAACACACAGCACCCAAGCAAAACACTGGAGAGCAACAGAAGAACAAATGAGCACACGGTGTTCAAGCGAGATTCTGTCCGGGAAGAAAACGGAACACTCAGGGCAGCAAGGGAAACGCTCACACATGCTTCACACTCCCAACCATATAATTGAAACCTGAATAAAACAAGAGCTGAGAGGTGAGATGGTGAAATAATAGAGATGAGAAGGGAGATTAGAGACCTAAGGATCGAACTGAGGATCAAAACAACACAACAACAAAATCAGTAAATAAGTTCAAAGCAGCTGAGTTATTAACTTAGAGAAAGGGTTATGAACAGCATGGAGAGTGCAACTGAAAAATACAGATAAAGAAAAGCAGAGAGAAATGAAAAGCAGCCCACAGCTGTCCCACACAAAGTGTCTTAACACAGAGAACCCAACACATGGAACATGCGCTTTAAAAATATAATACACACAGTGTGAGGCTGGAGTGGCTCAGCTGGTTGGGCATTGTCTCATGAACCAAAAGGTCGCCAGTTCAATTCCCCATCAGAGCCCATGCCAGGGTTGCAGGCTCGATCCCCAGCAGGGGGCATGCAGGAAGCAGCTGATCCATGTTTCTCTCTCACATCGAATTTCTCTTTCCCCCTCTCCCTTCCTCTCTCTCTAAAATCAATACAAATATATATATATGTATCATAGATACACAAAATGATATAAGAAAACTTCCTAAAATAATTAAAGAACTTAATCTGCATATTGAAAAAGCACATCTAGTTCCAGAAAAATTTAAAACAATGTACTCAAGGCAGTAACAAATTATAACCGTGTTACTAAACCTCAACAATCAAGACAGTTGTATGCACAAAAAGCACATAACCCAACAGGGGGAGAAAATCAGATCAGCCTGGGATTTCTCCTACTGCAGTGTTAAATCCTGAAAGACCCCAGAGCGACTGCCACCAAAGTCTAGAATAGGGCCAGAGACTCCCACACCCAGCATGGCGTCGTTCAAGTCCAAAAGCAAGGGACGAACATCTGCAAATGCAAGTCTTTGTTGGGGGAAGAAAACAGGAATGGAGCCAATTAAGATATGGGCCAATATAAAACAGAGCTGAGTAAAAGCACTAAATTAAATAGAGAACTGATCCAAACAATAACAGAAAGCACGGTCAGAACAGAACGGGAATTACAGTGTAAAATCAATAATGAAACTTCCACCATGAGACAGAGGCAAAGCAGGGGAAGGGCGGGAGTCCACGAGCAGTCAAAATCGAAAGAAACAGTTTCATAACACTCAATTCTCACCTTGCAATGCTTTCAAAATCTCTTCCCTTGACCTTGAGTGAGTCTTTTAGAAAATAAGCTCTAGTGTTAAAGATTTATTTGAAGTTCACATGTTTTCTTTGGTTTCACTGCAGCTTCTTTTCTTTTCTTGAAATCAAGTAAAAATGTAATACTTTTATGAGACAATAGCACTGTCACACAGGATGCACTCCTATAAAGGCGCTTCTGTCCCCCCACAGCTATCCTTGTACCTGTCCACACACACTGTAAGCTGTCCGAGGGACGGGAGCCCAGCGTGAACAGGTCACCTGGACGGCTAGGATGTGGGGCCAGAGCTCATTTCTTCTTTGCACCTTTCACTGCTAGCTGATGTCTTTACACTGAACGTGCACCATTTTTACCACTTTATGCAAATACAGATTAGTTTGTCTTAATTTAAACAACAAAACTAAATGGACTAGAAAAGACAACATTCCAAGACGTCAACAGCAGTTAGTATTGGATGGTGGATATGGGTGACAATTTTCTTCTTTGTACTTTTCTGTATCTTTTCTGGAAAAAAAATAGCCCAAGATTGTTGAAGAATGCGAGGTGACACTGAAAGCCTGCGGTAGCTGGTAGAATGTTAAGACAAAACGAAAACCTGTTAAGTAAAACGAAAACCTGCGTGACTCTGCAGAGCGGTACACAGAAGAGGGGTTCACAGTGGGCAGAGGGTTACGGAGGATTTGCTTTTCTTTCTCTCTTACCTAATTTTTAATTCCTGGAAGGTGAACACTTATTATTTGTGTAATTAAAAAGACTCCTCTTGGTTTTGGTGTTTATGGAAGGGCTTCTCAGATGTGAGGATTCCCAGCCTCCGAGGGGCTTGCATGGTGAGGGGGTGCACCGGTGGGTGCGTGCAGCAGGGGCTGGCCCTCGGTGGACAGGGTGAGGTGACGCCTAAATTACCGCAGTTCCCAGCAGCTGATGACTCCGTGCACGTGTGGAAGAAGGGGGTGAAGGCTGCCCCACAACAGGTGTATGTGCCCAGGGACATGTGTATGTCAGACACAAGATTAAGAAGCAAATGGCGGGTGCCCCGGGCTGTTTGGCTCAGTGGTTTAGAGCATCAGCCCTAAGGACTGAAGGGTCTGGGGTTGATTCCAGCCAAGGGCATATACCTCGGTTGCAGGCTCAGCCCCGGTTGGGGCGCATGCAGGAGGCAACCAATTGATGTCTCCCCACACACACTGTTCTTGAAAAGCAATGGGAAAAATATCCTCAGGTGAGGATTTAAAAAGAAAAAAGCCAATGGCTCATTTCATAGGCAACAATCTCCGGCAGCCTGGCAGAGCATGCTGCTCGGAAGCCTGGCACGGCCCAGCCAAGCTGTCCACGCTGAGCGCCTCTATGCGCTGCTGATGCTTAAAGGAAAAGAAGAGAGTTCAGAGGGCAGATGGGGCTCGGGGTCCCCTCCCAGCTCTGGCCACTCACAGACACGCAGCATGCTCAGGCCGTCAGGCTGGAAGGTTCCAACTGCAACAAAACTCACCCGTGGCTGCGGCGCACTAAACATCTGATCCACTCAGTAACTCACCACATGCTATAGGAGAATAAACCTGGGACCCAGGAACCTGGAGCAGAATTCGAAACGGAGCCACCCGTGCACTGGAATCCAGCACCGCGTCCAGGGCACCTACCAGGCGACCTTCAAAAGAAAGAAGAGAGTACACATCTGAGCACGGGGCGACCAGCCAAGCACCCAATCTGCTCAGATGTACTGAAGCAGCAGCCCCTCGCCCTGGCCCGGTGGCTCAGTTGGTGGAGTGTTGTCCCAGGCACCGAAAGGTGGTGGGTTCGATTCCCAGTCAGGGCACATACCCAGGGAGCAGGTCTGACCCCTGGTCAGACAATTATGGGAAGCAACAGATGGACATTTCTCACACCAATGTTTCTTTCTCTCTCTAAAAATCAATTTAAAAATAAATATATCCTCAGGTAAGGATTAAATAAATTAATTAATAAATACTAAAATGTCGGAGCCTGTTTAGCCAGCACAGGGCTTCCAAAAGCCCTCCACTGTCAGTCATTCAAGAGCAAACTAGTAAGGAGGCAAAAGCTGAGCAGCCTAAGGCATGACTGCTATAAAACCCATGCAGCCTTCCTGTCTTCTCTCCCTAAAGTCACTGGATGGGACAGATCAAGGTCGTTGTAGGGCATGGGATACATGGGCAGTTGGAGCCTGGAGAACATGAGGAAGGCACCTGCCAGGGAGGGAACTGTGGTAGCAACAGGAGGACTGATCAGATATGTGAATATAGTAAGAATCATGGAAGTCAGGTTCCTCAGCGGTAGAGGAGGGACCTGCAGACATGGAAAGAAACTAGAAAGAACACTGTGGTATTGGATAGCAGTTGGATGTACTGGGTCACAATGGGAGGTCAACTCATTTTAATATAGTACATTTGTATAAAAAGAAATACAGACAATGTGTCAATGAATATGTCTGTGCATAAATAGATAAACACATACATGCACACACATATACACACAGACATACCATCCCTAGTTCTGCCCACTGAGGGGCTCTCAGAGCAAGCACCCGGTAAGCAGTGAGCACACCTAGCCCCCAGATTTTGCTTGTATACACTATTCCCCATTAGAAAAACCAGGCTCCGTGAAGAAATGGTTGATTCCAGGGCTGGAGCAGCCAGGTACAAGATAAACTTGGATTATTTCTTGTACCAGTCCAACGGATGCAGAAGCCGGCGCGAAGAGGCTGCCACTGGCATATCTGAGACCTGCTGGGCATCAGGTGTATTCTCAGACCACAATGGAATTAAACTAGAAATCAATAACAGAAAGATCTCTGGAAAATCCCAAAATATATGGAGATTAATCACACTTCTAAGTAACACATGGGTCAAAGGAGTCTTAAGAGGGGTTTTTAAATGTCTGAACTTAATACAAATGAAAATATAAATTTAAAAAATTTGTGTGATACAACAAAAGCAGTGCTTAGAGGGAACTTTATAGCAATAGATGCATAAATTAAAGAAGGAACTAAAAATCAATAAGCTAAAAGCTCCTCCTGTAGGAAATTACACCAAAAAAAAAGAAAAGTAATTTAATCCTAAAGAAAGCAGAAGAAAAATCATAAAAACTGAGAAAAATCAACAAAATTGAAAACAAAAAATAGAGAGAAATGAATAAAACCAAAAGCTGTTTCTGTGGGGGGAAAAAAATCAATGAAATTGATGAACCTCTACTTAGGCTAATGTAAGAAAATGGAGAGAAGATCTATCTACTAATATGAGAAATTAAGGGAGGTGGTCATCGCTACTAATAGTAAAAGGGTAATAAATACATGAACAAGTCCATGCCCACGAATTTGACAACTTACATGAAATGGATGCAAATTACCAAAACTCACACAAGGAGAAATGAATCATTTGAATAAGCCTATATCTATTAAAGAAACAGAATCAATAACCTGCCAAAAAAGAAAACACCAGGTCTAGATGGCTGGACTGGTCAATTCTAGAAAGGTTAAGGACACATGAAAATAATCCCCACAGCTTCTTTCAAAAAACCAAAGCAGACAGAACATCTCCCACCTCACTCTATGAGACCAGCATATCCTAACAGCAAAACCAGACGACGATATTTCAGTAAACAATAAACTACAAACCAGTATCTCCCAGGTAAAATCTTCAACGAAATATTAGCAAATTGAATCCGGCGAGATACAGAAAGAATTATACACCATGAACAGATGGGACTTATTCCAGGTATGCAAGGCTGGTTCAATATTTGAAATCAACCACCGCAATACACCACATCAATAGGCTAAAGAAGAGAAAACATAATCACATCAATTCATGCAGAAAGAGCATTTGATAAAATCCAACATCTCTACATAATTTTTTAAAACTCTCCACAAACTAGGAGTCAATAACTTCTTTAGCTTGATAAAGAACATCTACAAAGATCATACTTAATGAGAAACTAATCGCTTTTATGCTAAGATGAGGAACACGGCTGAGTGTTGAACACTGTATGGAAGTCCTGGCTAGTGCAATAAGCCAAGAGGAGGAAAGAAAAGGTATACAGAGAGGGAAGGAGGAAATAAAACTGTCTTTGTTCACAGATGACATGCTTGTCTTTGTAGAAAAATGCCAAAGAATCAACAACAAAAAACTTATGGAACTAATCAGCAAGTATAATAAGGGTGCAGTATACAAGATTAATATGACAACTGCTTTCCTCATATACCAGCTATGAGCAACTGGAATTTGAAAAAAAATTTAAATACTACTGACAATAATAGAAAATGGCATTTTTATTAGTAGAAAGATGAGTAGAATCTATATGCAGAAAACTACAAAACTGTTTAAAAAAAAAATCAAAGAAGATCTGCCCTGTCCAGTGTGGCTCAGTGGTTAGAGAGTTGACCCATGGACCAAAGGGTCACAGGTTGAATTCCCGGTCAAGGGCACATACCTGGGTTGCAAGTTCAATCTCTGGGCCCAGTCGGGGTGTGTGGGGGAGGCAACCAATTGATGTGTCTATCACATCAATGTTTCTCTCCCTCTCTCTCCCTCTCCTCCTTCCTTCCCCTCCCCCTTTCCACTCTCTCTAAAAATCAGTGGGGAAAAACATCCTCGGGTGAAGATAAAAAATAAAATAAAAAAGTAAAAAAATCAAAGATCTAAATAAAGAGACATTCCATATTTATGGAAGATTCAATAATGTTAAGATGTCAATTCATCCCATCTTGATTGATCTACAGATTCAATGCAATCCCAACAGAAATCCTAGCAGCAGTTTTATAGATATTGACAAATTAATTCTAAGGTTTATATAAAAAGGTAATTACCTAGAAGACCCAACACAATACTGAAGAAGAACAAAGTTGGAGAAATCATACGACACAATTTCTAGTAAGAAAGCTACAGTAATCAAGACAGTGAGGTATTGACAGGTCAGTGGAACAGAAGAGAGAGCCAGAAACAGACCCATATGAATCCAATCAACTGATCCTTGACGAAGGAGCAAAGACAATTCAACAGAGAAGGACAAGTCTTCTCCACAAATGGTTCTGGAACAATTGGACGTCCATATGCAAAATAAATAAATAAATAAGACACAGACATAAACCTCTCACCAAAACATTAAGTCATAATGGATCACAGACCTAATACAAAACCATAAAACTCATGGAAGAAAATACAGGAGAAAATCGAGATGACCTGGAGTTTGGTGATGACTTTTTATTATTATTATTGTTTTAAATATATCTTTATTGATTTTCAGAGAGAGGAAAGGAGAGGGAGAGAGAGATAGAAACATCAATGACGAGAGAGTCATTGATTGAGCCCACAACCCGGGCATGTTCCCTGACAGAGAATCAAACCCCAATCGCCTGGATCCTAGGTCGATGCTCAACCGCTGAGCCACGCCCGGCCAGGCAGGTGATGACTTTTTAGAGACAACACCAAAAACATGGTCCACGAAAAAAAAAAATACTGAAAAGTTAGATTTTATTAAAATTAAAAACTTTTGCTCTGCAAAAGACACTAAGAGAATCAAGACAAGCCACCGACTAAGCAAAACTATTTGCAAACACGTATCTGATAAAGGACTGGTATCCAAAATGTACAAAGAATTCTTAAAACTCATTAATAAAAAAACAAACAACCCAATTAAAAATAAGCAAATGAGCCCAGGCCAGGTGGCTCAGCTGGTTGGAGCATCACCCATACAGCAAAAGGTCATGGGTTCAATTTTCAGTCAGCGCATATACCCAGCCGGGGTTCGATCCTCAGTCGGGGCACGAACTGGAGGCAACAGATCGGTGTTTCTCTCACATCGATGTTTCTCTCTCTCTCTTTCTCTCCCTTCCTCTCTCTCTAAATTCAATAACCATATCCTCAGGTGAGGATTAGAAAAAATAGGCAAAAGATATGAACAGAAACCTCTGGACAGATGACATACAGATGACAAGCAAGCACCTGAAAAGCCGCTCAACATCATTTTTCAATAGGGAATTGCACACTGAAACAAGATACTCTTAGATACCCATTAGAATAGCCTAAAACCCCAAAACACGTACAATACCAACTGCTAGCGAGGATGTGAGCATCAGGAACTCACTCACTGCTGATGGGAATGCAAATGGCACAGCCACATTAGTAGACAGCCTGTTAGTTTCTTCCTAAGCTCACCAGTCTCTTCATACCATCTGGGTATTCATCCAAATGATATGAAAACTTCTGTCCACATAAAAACCTGCACACGAATGTTTACAGAAGCTTTATTTGTAATTGCCGCAAACTGGAAGCAAGATGTCCGTCAGCAGGTGAATGGTGATAAAAAGAAGTAATCTCTCCAGTCATGAAAAGACATCAAGGAGCCTTATGTGCAACTGCTAAGTGGAAGAAGCCCTCCTGAGAAGGGCTACGTTCTCTATGCCTCCGATCAATCTCGAAAAGGAAAGCAGAAAGTTACAGCGGGGTGGAAAGCTCAGGGGCTGCCGGGAGGAAGGGGTGACTAGTGAAACACGGGGAAGTTTGGGGTGTGAAACTATTCTGTACAATATTGTCATTGTGGACACATGACGCCATGCATTCGTCAAAATCCCACAGAAGTTCTCAGCCTTTTTTTTTTAACCCTCACCCGAGGATTTTTTTCCATTGCTTTTCAGAG